AATGTAATCCATATTTTTCATTCTTTCCACGAATATTACAGCATGGCCTAATCTGTGCCAAGTCTGGAAATTGAAAGTAAAGTGTCAGATTCCCTGAACATGGGTCTTTTTTTGTATCAGTTTTGGAAGGGAAATGGAGATGACCTAATGCCTAAAGAGGACAGTTACTGATTCAGTAATGAGGAGAGACACGTACCTGAGGAGGCTAAGCCCATGTTTCTGGTGCCCTGAAAACACCCAGGAATCAGAGAGTCAGAGGACAAGGTCTGTTCCTCCTTGTGGGTAGTAACGGAGTACGACTGGACTCTCCAAATTCTTCACTGTTCCCCAAACTTCTGTGTATATATGACTTGTCACCTGCCTTACCTCTCTAGTGCTGCTATAGCAGAAATTCCACAAGTGGATACCTTTAACAAATGTCTTCCCTCTCCTTTTATAAGGTTAAATGTCCAAATTCAGAGTGCTGGCTGTCAGGGAAGGCTTTCTCTTTCTGTCAATTCTGGAGCAAGGTCCTTTTCTCCTGTTAGCATCTGTAGGCCAAAGCTTCCTTGGAGAGATCAGTGCGTCTTGGCATCAATCTTCCTCTGGATCTAGGAAACTTCACAGTGCAGGGCACCCAGATCTAAAGGACGCCTTCTACTCCAGCTCGTTTCTTGGTGGTAGTAGTTCCCTGTGAACTCTACTTGCCTGTTTAATCTCTTTCATGTCTCAAGATATTAACTCAGGACACAACCTAATCCTGTAGATTGCATCCAGCCCAAGTTACATCACATTGTTATTGTTAGGTGCTGTCTAGTTGGTTCTGACACATAGCGAGCTTATATAGGGTTTCCCAGGAGTGACTGGTGAACTTGAACCACTGACCATGTAGTTCAAACTGATCTTGCTGATCAGTGCATTAACTTACAGCGCCAACACCAGGACATCATAGAACTGAGGAATGACACCACATTGGAGAATTATATCAGATCATGGCTGATGACATCAGATCATATCATGGGAATGATTACATTATATAAGATCTCATCATGAGGGGTTTACTATGTCTTCACTGTCAAACCACTGAGAATCCAAGCCCAGCTAAGTTCATACAAAACCTTGACTATCACACCACCTAGCACTCAATGACTATTTTAGGGTATAGTAAGGAAGATGTCAAGGAGCTCTGGTAGCATAGTGGTTTATATATTGGCTTGCTAATTGCAAGGTCAGTAGGTTGAATCCACCAGCTACACCATGGAGAAAGATGAAGCTTTCTGCTCCTGTAAAGATTTGCAGCCCTGGAAACCTTATATAGGCTCTGTATGAGTCAAAACCATCTCAACAATGCCCAGAAGCAACAAGGCAGGTGTTATTTGAGCAAGTCAAGTCATGAGAATATCAACTTCCTGGATATCCATAGAAGCATGACACGGGGTGACCAGTGACCATTTAGGAGAGCTCCCGGGTACTGATGCTGGACGGATTCTTCAGCTCTTACATCCTCCCACCAGCCCTGTACACTAGGCAACAGTGACCCCTATTAATGAGACCAGTGAGGCACGTGCTGGCCAAGTACACACAGTGAAAATGGCAGTGCTCACCCTACACAATTTTAGCATCTCTTTGCTTTAGTTTTCTGAGCTTCAGTGTTTCTGTAAAAATGGATGATAATGCCAACCTAGTAAAATTAGAGATGGTGAATGTACAAGACAGAGCCCAACATGTATTAGGTGCTCAATAAATTATACCTACTATTGAGATCAGAAGATGTGGTCATTATGAGCTCTTGAAGTATACAGTTAATTTTTACAAGCAAGAGGCAAAACAAAAGCATAGAAGAAGCACCAAAGAGAGTCCCAAATTCTGTTGCACACACACATACAACTCAAACAGCAGTTGTTGTTAAGTGCTGTCGAGTCGATTCCAACCTATAATGATCTTGTATAGCGTTTCCTAGGAGCAGCTGGTGAGATTGAACCACAGATCTTGTGGGGAAGGCCCCTCCCTCTCACCTCTGGCTATCAGGGTAAATGCCATCAATGGGAGAGATGGAGCCCCTTTCTCTTCCAGTCCCTGATTTGGGGAGAAAGACAGCATGGCCCAGAGGGTTGGGCAGTGCACGTGGAATCAGCAGCTCTGAGATGGACAGGGCTCAGTCTCTTGCTCCAGTGAGTCCTCCACAAGGGAAAGGGACACCCCACCTGGGAGCCTCAGTGTCTTTATCTGTAACATCTGGAAACTCAGGATAAAGCTGTCTTCCCTGCCTAAGTCCAGGGATGTGGGGAATCTCAGGTGCTGTGTCTGGGAGGGAATCTGACCTTTTCCACGTAAGCTGCCCATACGCTCTAACCCAGCAGTGTCACTCCCGGTGGACATCCCAGCGTGAGTAGGACAATCAGGTGCAGGTCATCTCTGATGCCTGTGTACCCATCCACAGGAGACTGGAAACTAAGGGATGGTGTTTCCTTATGATGAGGTGTTCTGCAGGCCTTAAAATCAGAGGAGAAGCTCTGGCTGAGGCTGAGAGAGGTGTCCAGCCACCTGTGGATTGGAGTGTGAGAGGCCTTCTCAACCTCTGAGGAAATGATGAAATGTAACAATGCTGGCTCCTGCTCACGGCTTCAGTTCAAGAAGCTTCTAGTCAGTGTGTGCTGTGTGCAGGGCTCATCCATGGACCGAGTGTCCAATGTCAGAGCAGCCAGGAGCCTGTCCTGGAAGCAGATCTAGGTTACCATCCAGACCCCATCACTAACTCACAGTGTGACCATGGGCTGGGCCCAGTTTTTTCCTGGTTTCAGGTGTCCCAGGAGTGAGTGGGGTCTGAGCTGCATGGTGTCTACAGGACTTTGGGGTCTGATTTTCCACATCTAGGAGTTGGATAGAGGATCATGGGCCTCTGGCAGACACCCAAAAGGGGCATCCTCTTTGCTGCTTCAACCAGGTAACTAAGCTATGTGGGGAGGTTCACCTACGTGGAGAGGTTCATCCCTGGAGTGAGGGACCTCCTAAGGTGGAGCTGTCTGCCCTGAATCATGTAGGTTATCTTACCAGATCCCACAGCAGAGCCGGTCCTCTGGGCATCTCCCCCAACAGGGCTCTCAGATCAGCTCCCTGTAGGACTTTTTGCTCAGTGTGTTGTATCTGAAGACAAATAAACTCACACACCCTCTCAGTCCTGCACTGACCTTCTCCTCATTGGGGAAGAGAATGGAAACGTCATGGGGAAGAGCTTGTGCCCACTTGTTCATTGCTGTTTTCAACCCCTAAGAGCAGATCCAGGCACACAGTAGGCCCTCAGAAATTATATGTCCAATAAGAGGAGACATGGCCATGGTGCAGGGAAAACTCTGGGGCAGGAGGTGAATGGGATGACACCCACATGTTCAGTTTCCTCCTCTGTGAGGACCACACTGGACAAGGCTCAGCTTTGGAGCAGGTGACTAGGTTTGCAGACTTTTCTCCCTGTGTCATCAGGGGCCTTAAGCAATCTGCATGTCCTCTAGGCTTCAACTCCCTGGTCTGTAAAGGGGCTGGATGGTGACCAGGAATGTAATCCCTCACCTCTGATACTAAGTTGTTGCTCAACTGAGCTATTGTCACACAAGGGGTGGGAGGCCCCGTCGCTACTCACCACTCACAGTGACCCGAGTCCCAGCACCAGACTTAAACTCCGTATCAGGGGTCCCTTTCTTGAACTTCACACAATAGTAGGTGTTGGTGTCAGCCAGGGTGATCTTACTGATGCTGATGGAAAAGTCCATGTTGTTTCTTTGTGTGATATCTGTGCCATTTCTTACTCGGGGGTAGAGAGGTAAGTGGTCGTGGGTTCCTTTGAAATTGTAGATTAGCTGCCGATCTGGTCCAGTACCCCTGAACCAGTTAATGGGCCCCAAGGGTTGCAGAGAGGTGACTGTGCAGGGCAGAATGGCCGTCTCTCCAGCTGTTGCCGACACCATCTCAGGTTGAATCACCTGCAGCTCCTCCTGCTCACCTGTCACCCCTGCAGGGAACATAGGGCCATTATTCACCCCATAGGATTCTGTTTTCTCAAGTGTGTATCAGCAACAACTTCCACTCTCTGATGCAAACCATGACACAGCCTTGTGCTCAGCACGATCCACACCCATCTCATTGACTCCTCACCACTGCCACCACACTGACACTGGATGACAAATGGGGAAACAGAGGCAGAATGTGGTATGCACCCAGTCTGAGGGGAGTTCTGAACCTTCTCTGGAAGAGCCATGTGGGAGCTGGGCTCTCAGACTCAAACCTGGATTGAGCAGGAGGAGAGGGGCCTGCTGTTCCTGACAGAGGACCCGGCCTGGGACAAGGCTCAGGCGTGGGGCAGCGTGCGTGCGTGTGGTTCAGAAAGGAGCCTCGGTTCTGTTTACAGCTGACCAGGAGCAGCCCCAGCCGGAGCTGTACTCAGTGGTCTGTGTTCCCAGGTTGTGGAGCAGAGGAAATATACAGGGTGTGAAGTGGAAGGCCTTGGGTGTGACCCTGGACATCACTGAGGTGTATGAGGGGATGCTCATGAGGGAGCCCTACAAACTGCTTTACTGTGGGTGGTTCCTTTGTTACTGCTGAGTCTTAATTTCTTCTTCTGTCGACTAGTTACTGTGACTCCATCTGGAATCTCTGTGAGGGTTCAGTACATCATTGGTAGAGACTGTGTCAAAAAGAAGAGATTGGCCTTTGGAGTCACCAGATCTGGTTGGAAACCTGGCTGGACCCTTCTCCATGTGTGACTCTGGAGATGGTATAGCACCCCACCCTCTGCCCTGTTCTGAAAGGAAAATGAGGTCACACATAGACGTCACTGAGTTCCTGGCTGGCAACAAGGAGCTCATTATTGACACGATGTGAGCAGTGATGGAGTGCGGAAGGGGCCACTGCTCAAATGCCTCCCCAAACTGCTGATTCCCCTATAGACCTGGTCACTGCTAAAAAGGGGCACATGGTAGTCCAGGATATAGGGTTCCAAGGAGGAAGGAGCCAGAAGCCCTAATCAAAAGCCACTTGGAGAACAGGAGTCAGGAGCCTGGTAGAGCAGTTGTTGGGTGGACAAGGGGAGACCAGAGGCATGAAGATGAATGGGCAGAAGGACTTTACTATAAGACATTCAGGCACCATGGAGAACAACCCAGGGCCAGATTGTGAACAATTTGGAGAGGAGAGGAGAGGAAATACAAAGATACAGACCACAGTGCCCTGGGAGACACAAAGTTGTTGTTTTTGTTGCCAGGTGTCTTCAGGTCTGTTCCAACTCATAGCAACCCTATGCACACCAGAACAAAACACTGCCCAGTTCTGAGCCAACCTCACAATTGTTGCTACACTTGAGTCCATTGATGCTGCCACTTTGCCAATCCATCTTCCTGCGTGTCTTCCTCTTTGTCTCTGACCCTCCACCTTACCAAACATGAGATCCTTCTCCAGTGACTGGTCTCTCTTGACAATCTGTATGAGTCAAACGTATGAGAGAGGAAGTCTGGCCTTCCTGGCCTCCAAGGAGCACTCTGGCTGTATACTTCTTCCAACACAGATCTATTTGTTCTTTTGGAAGTCTATGGTACTTTCAATATTCTCCCCCAATACCATAACGCAAATGCCTCATATTTTCTACAATCTTCCTTGTTCTCTGTCCAAACTTTCACATGTTTATAAGGTTATTGAAAATACCACGGCTTGAGTCAGGCACACCTTAGTCCTCAAATTGACATCTTTGCTCTTCAACACTTTAAAAAGATCTTGTGCAGAAGATTTGCCTAATACAATATGTCGCTTGATTTCTTGACTGCTGCTTCCATGAGTGTTGATGGTTGATCTGAGCCAAATGATGTCTTTGACAGCTCCAATCTTTTCTCCATTGATAAGAATGTTGTTTATAGGTCCAGTGGTGAAGATTTTAGTTTTCTTTACAGTGAGCCACATGGCAGGGACAATTCATGGAATTTCAGCACTGAAGATGGAACTGATTGGAAATTCTGCTTAGAGAACCTCAGGCTCTGAGGACAGTGGACAGTGAGGACACGGGTTCCCCTCTCAGCCAACTCATCATCCATAATGTGGGGCATGGGCATCTACTTCAAGGACAATCCTAAAGACTGTATGTCCCAGTCATACACAGTACCTGTCACATAGGTGGTGCTACCCAAATTCTGCTCCAGCCCCATCATTATCATCACATAGACACATGACTCATATTTGATTTTTTCGTGAGGTGCACAAGAGACTCTTCCTAACCCCTGGCCTGGAACAGTGTCTGACACAACAGTGGGAAAAACCATGAAGTTTTTAAATTGATTTGAACTCATGGCGACCCTGAATGTCTCATAATACACCCTGCCTTTAATGGGCTTTAAGGCAATGACTTTTTTTTTTTTCTTTTTTTTGCATCGTATGTTCTCTGTTTATTTATTTTGTTTTCTTCTTATTGTGAACTGAGTGATAGTTTACATGGAAGAACAAAGGCTTTACACCATTATTTCATTGCAAAGATTAAAGTCTTCTCCATGCATCATCATTCAACAATATTTGCTTCTATTCCCTCTGGTTTTTTTTTGGGTGGTGGTGGTGGTCGGGAGGACGTGTGTGTACAAAAACACTCAGGAATATATAATAATTTAAAAACCAAAGGGCACATTCTGTGATTCTGCCTACTGGTCGCCAGCACTCAGTCCCTCTCTTTCCATGAGTCTAGAGTCCTCAACTGCTCCTTCTCTCCATGTCCTCATCTCTGCCTCCATCTCTGGTGTTGCTGCTTCTCTGGAGAGGGTCCCACATTTCACTTGTGCACATCTCTCTTGATGGTCCTAGGCTCTTCTGTTCCCAGAATATAAGATTAACTACTCCCCCCCTTTATGTTACAAATCTTCTACCTCTACTGTTGTGACTATCACAATTCATCATGTTAACAATTACTCACTATGGAATCATAAGAATCTTTTCCCCATCTCTTTTTACCAGACCCATCTAGACAAGATAAAAACCATTCAGTGGGGACTCTGTCTACCCCACAAACTCTTAAACTAGACTCCCTCTTGTAAGCCAGTCACTTCGTGTTTTTATAGCCCCCTCAATTTAGGTAGCCATTGTCCAAGTTTCCCTTCCCTATCTACAATGTAAACATAGGGACTAGGTTTAATACTTGATGTGTAGACTCCTTCCCTCTCAGTTGGTATTTTGAGTTACTACATCCATAAGTATATGTTAAGTTCATCAAACTGCAGCAATTTACTCTCATTTCCTTTATCAAAAAATTTTTTTTATATCTTCCTCTAGACGAGTTCTGATTATCAAGCTTTCAAGGCTAGGTCAAATGGGTATTTTGTTTAAGTCTGGGCATTCTTGTGCATCTCCAATCACTTCATATCAGCTGGATTCTTCACTCTCAGCTCTAGCCCTCTGTGGCTATGTTCTTGTGCATGGGTTCAGGAGTCCCCAGGTCTCACCACACTTAGGACCAACTAGCCCTTTCTCTTCTCTCTCTCATCTCCAGGAAAATGGGAGTCTATGGAACATGGTTGAACTCAGCCCATTTCTTCACTGATGTCAAGGCTATGACTTTTGGGAAACAGATCACAATACCTTTCTTTAGAGCTGCCTCTGGGTGAGTGCAAATGACTCTCCTTTCAGCTAGTTGTAGAGTGTGGTTTCATTGTTTGTATGATCCAGGAACATCAGACACACATATGAGACCCGCAGTAGAGGAGCTGCACGTGAATGATAGAAAGGCCATTGTGGTTGAAGCTCATGGAGGAAGGGCGGTGTGTGTGATATGAGAATAGGTTGGTGAGGCCACGATGGCTCCACACTGCACAGGCCATGATTCAGACTTAGATCTTTCTCTAAGTGTAAAAGAAACCACTGGTAGGTTCTGAGCAGGACCTGAGATGAGTTGTTCACTGCAACTTCTGTGGGATGAAGAGACTGAAGGGATAAGGGTGGAAACAGAAGAGCCAGGGATGAGGATGACACAGCCTTCAGAGGCCAGCCTGGTGTCAACTCTTAGTTCTGTATTTACAAGTGGTGGGACAAGTCACCTCTCTGAGCCTCCATTTCTTCGTCTGTCTGATGGGTCTTACAATTGTTTCCATCTCAGAGCTGTGATGAGAATTCCCTGAGACAGTGCAAAGTGTAGTGATCCAGCACATGGGCTCTGTATTCGATGAACAAGATCCTCTTTGGTTTGAGTTTAATTTGTTGAGTTGATAATTGTGATCAAAGTGATCATAATAAGGCTACCAAATGGCTAACAGCAAAGCAGTTTTAACTCTCACTAGCTGTGTGGCTTAAGAAAAGATCCAGGAGAATCTTCAGTTTCTTTCTCTGTAAAATGGGACAAAGGACTTCACAACTACTGTCCAGCACAGCCCAGTTTAGAAATCCTTGGCCTGAACCACAGGTGGCTTACTATTGCTCCCAGGCCTGCCACAGCTCTGCTGGGTGAGAGTGGTCAATCCCTTCCTCTCTCTAGGCCTTGTTTTCTTGGCTATGTGATGTGGGGGCAAGATGATAGGAGGGCCTTTCTCAGGCATTGAAGTGGATCCCTTTAACAAATGGAAATTTATTCTCTCACCATTTAGGAGACTAGAATTCTAAATCAAGAACCATTGCTCTAGGGAAATGCCTTTTTTCTTCTTTCAGCGTCTGTAAACCCAGCATTTCTTGAAACTCTCCATGTGTCTTGGCATCAGATTTTTCCTTCTGCAGTGGATAACGAGCTGAGCTGCTAACTACAAGGTCAGTGATTCGAATCTATCAGCTGCTTCAAGTTCAAAGATGAGGCTTTCTACTCCTGTAAAGATTTACAGCCTTGGAAACATTATACAGGGTGGTTGTGAGTCAGAACTGACTCCATGGCACATAACCATCACCAACAGGGTTCCTGGGCAGGGACCCAGGGTTCAAAGGACAAATTCCACTCCTGGCTCTTCTTCCAGTGGCAGTAGATCCCTCTTTGTTCATTTCTCTCTCCTTTTATATCTCAAAAGA